AATTAAAATGATAAAAAATGTTTTACGACAAATGTCCAGAAAGCGGTAGTACCTATTATTCTTACCGTTATTTATACATATATCTTTGCCGAGTTAATTAACTATATTGTATTGACACCTATCTAATCCTTTATTACATATAAATAGATATAATAGAATTAAAATTGAAATATACTACACAACATAATTTTACTTTTGAAGGAACATTTATTTTAATTACCCTTTCCTACATAAACGAATGGACTGGAACTGAGTTTACTTTGTAAAAAATACAGTTTTAAATTATATAAAGTTGTGATTTACTTCAATCTTGACTAATTATCACATCACCAAAAAGAGGAGTGTACTTATTTTGATACTATTTTTGATGCAAATCTAAAAATTTTATTTCACAAATTCATATCGTAGTTGGAAAAGTTTTTTTAAGTGTGAATAATAAATGATCAGGATACCAAATTAAAAACCTAAAAAAATAAGCCAAAAAAAAATAAAATTTAAGATGTTTTGAATGTTCAGTGTAATTATTAACTTGGATTACATTTACGAACTCATCTGTCACACGGCTCATTTAGCACATGGTATGGCTGACAGTACAACACAAACAAAAATACTTAATAATTAACCTTCTAATTGCGAAATTTATAGTATTATAGCCAAAAACGAAAGGTTACGTAATCTTTAAAGAGACAGATCTTGTTAGACTATGAGCCTATTTATTCGGCTATTGAAACCCTTATTAAACTTTAACAATATTGCCTATCCGCTATAGAGCCGCACTAATCCACTTCCAGAGATGGAGACGAATTGAGGCGGGCATCGTGTCGTCGCATTCCCAAACTCAATTATTATTACATTCGAGTCAATCCCCAACTCCCTCTCTGGCTGTCATGTGAGTTCTGCTTTATTTGTTGTCCCAGCGCGTCGCAACCCACATAAAAAGGTTTCTGCTATTAATATTACGCATTCAGTCGCCAGACAGGCAGAATTTTTTTCATGATTAATGTATTATATCATAGTATTGTTCATTTAAATCTTTATCAGAAAAAATATTTTACAGATAAATTTAAGGTAAACAGTTTCACGGTCGATGTTTTCCACAAACCAATGGAATCGTTTTCTTATCTTTTACAGCGACATAGCATTAAAAGATTTCTGGTATATAATATAATATATACCTGAAAAATATATATTAGGAAATTGGCTGATATTAATACCAATCTTTACATGTACAGTTAGTATACATTGTGTTAACTTCATTACTGAATAAGTCGTCAGTGATAAAAACAGCAAACTTTTCGCCGACTAACAACAAATATTATAATTATTTGAAATCTCTGGTGTATGTGAACAAGCCACATACTTCGCAGTATTAAAAAAATATTAATTATAATATTAGAAACATACTGAAAGTGTTTCGTCGAAATGCTATAAATAGTGTTCAAATAGTAAATGTCTCCATCACTATGGAGGTTTACTTTTAGAGACATAATTAGCTAAGCTAATGTGAAGAAATTTCATAGCCCAAGTTTAGTTTTAGATATAAAAAGGTAATCATAGAAAAAGTTGTAGGTGAACAAATTACTATTAGTAAACTACTTTATGCCAGCCTATAATTATAATTTCTAATTTCAAGATTCAAGTTAAGGGGCAATGATTATTACGTAAAACAGAGAAAACAAACACTGTTTTGATTCCTTATTCTGCATTTCCTTACAGTATTCCTTCATTAATATAGACCATCTGTGTTTGACGGCACAAGATATATGGGCGTGTCCGCTGAGACACCGTAGATATAAATCGAGCGAATTACATTAGGCATCGGTGAGCATTTTCAATAAAAGCTGGAGTAAAGAGCGCCATTACTCATTGAGGTGGTCCCGTGACCCGGGTCAGATGGGCCTGGTATGAGGCAACGAGATTCGTTTTACCTTCTTCCCTAGAATCTGAGGGGAATGTTATACCGATCGTTTCTTACAATTTAGAAAAGTGCTAAGTCTTTATATAGTTCTTTTAAATTTTATAGAAAACGAAACTATGAAAACTACTTCATTTACCTACCTATACATATAGGTACACTACAGTAATTTTAGTGTCAATTCAAATTAAATTAATTATAATGGTATTTATATTATTATCTATGTAGGTTATTGATTATATACCTGTAATTTAATAACGAGTAGGAGAGCCGAAGAGGAGATATAAAACCTTATTTTAGACTGTAAGTTTAAATAAGGTTTTAAAAGTTCAAATTTAACTTTACAATTGTAATCCTAAAAATACGAATATAATTTGATATTCGTTTTAAGCAAATCAAATCGAACGAGTGGCTATTATTTCCAAATTGAGATTTACTCAATTTAATCGAGTATCGAAAACTTTGGGATCATAAGAGTTCGAGAATAACGGTTGGGTCAGAGCGCGGCACAAAAAGGTTTCAGCTGCGGATATTGAACTTGCAGTCTTAGTGTTCTAAGACGGCCTCATAAAAACAAAAGAATATTCGGATCTCATCTCCATATACATATAAATCGGAATGTTCTAGCTTTCGACAAACTGATTTACTAGAGTATACCTGAAACTAGTCAGTTAGGATATTGAAATTTTGAATATAGCTTGGTCTTATTATTAGAAAAAGTATTCCTTGTTCCTATATTTATTTAAAAGAGCAACACACAAGTTTCTTGCTTATTCTTCTTGTGATGAATTTGCATTCCGAATAAGCGGTAGAATAAAAAAACTTGACTATTCAAAAGTGCTTATATTAAGTTTATTTGAATAAAGATTATTTCTATTTCTAATTCTTGAAAATAAACGACCAATTAATTAAAAAGAAAATTTATCAATCAAGTCGTTTTCAGTTGTTTGGCATTTGCATATTTTCCCTCTTTAACAAGTAATAAAGTAAACTTAAAAAATGTGATGCTAAAAATAAAATTAAGCCACTTAATCTTACCTAAGCTCCTACTCCTAAGTTAATCTGACAAATTTTGGGACGATGCCAAGTAGACAACAAATGCTATAAATGTAAACGTTTGTTAACAGAATAGGTATTCTCTATATATCAGGCAAATCAAAGGAAATTCATATTAATATTATTAATGTAAAACTGTACCCGTTTATCTGTTATCTTCAATATTAAACAGCAGTTCATTAAAAAAAAAGAAACAGACGTTCAACAAAACAAATCTTGATTGAAATTTGATATGAATTAGTCAATTAATTAGTAATTAGTGCATCATGTTGATGTACTCTGATTATATTTTACTCTAAAAGTAGGAGATGAAATAGCAAGAAACAGAAAAGATATGAATGATTAAACTATGCATAAAAACCTTTACAAGGACATGACTTATACTAATGGAAATATAAAAAAAATACATGATATCACCTTTAAACAGAATAGATATTTATGTGGGCAGAGGGCATCTCGTCTTAGCCAAACTTATACTTACGTAACAAAGAAAATATTTGTCCTTTTCAACTAAACGTACTTTTATTCGTATAAAATAAAATACAATAAGATTCCCCAATGGGTCATGCCTCTAGGTCAGACGAGATCAAGTATCTATTTTAGGTAATATTTTTTACTACGTATATGTACATATCTTTGTAATTAAATATATTGAATACCTACATAAATTATATAATCGATGAGGTACATGATTCCCGAATCATGTACCTCATCGATTTTATAATTTAGAATTTACGTGACAGTGTGTATAGATTTTATCTTATTTATTAATGTTTTTTTATGTTGCGGACTCTTTGACAGAGGCTACTTGCTGGGCGTTTATAAAATAACATCTATGTCAGATGGAAAAATGACTACGAACTGAGACGACAAATACGAGGGACTTATGTGATTTTAGAATATTTAAAATAAATGTACTTATTTTTATTAGCATTTACCTTTAATTTAAATATCGACAACAGAGCAAACGGTCTAGATGATACAGACATAATAACATTATTTATGAATACGAAAGTATTCGAGTATGTCCGTCGAATTGATTATTTCCTTATGGTGACAAAAGAATTGGACAGATCTCAATGAAATTTTATGTGAAAATAGGTAGAACAACAAGTACAAATAGACAGACTATTTTCTATAACTATATAACTATTATATTATTATGACTTTTAATTTAATGAGAATACCATATTTTATCATAATTTACTTTCATTAAATGAAAAAAATATCGTTATTTTTATTTAACTACCGAAGCGAAGTCATAATTATGCAGAATAAATTCTAAAATATTTGTATGAACGCTAGTACAAGTCCCTGCTATAATAAAAATACCCTACCTGACCTTTCAGCTATTGCCACGACATGTGAATTTATATAAGAAAAAGATTATGAAAGTGTAAAAGATTTAACCCTCGCTCCTAGTAGGAAAGCACTTAAGTCTTCCGTGTTCATGCTACTTTCAGTTATACTATCTATATATTAAAGTATAGATGCCCATTCAAGTTTTATGTTTCAGTAACTCTTTATTGTGTCTAAAAATATCGTAATATCCATCCATAAAGAATACAATCGTTTCACAAGACAGCAGTATATATTAAAAGTAGAGAAATTATATTGTCGCTACGCTGGTTAAAAGACATATATTATAAGTAATAATAGGACGTGTCGGTGGTACAATGTTATGTAGCACACCGCCTTACTTCCGAGACTTAATTAAATATATCTTTTGTACATGTATTGTGTTAAATCGTTATTATTAACATAACATTAATAAAAAAAGTTGCAAACGTTTACTGAAAAAAGTTTATACATATTTATTTATACGAAGATTTTTCGCTTAAAATTTCAAATGTATTCGAACACCTTAAAATCTCTTTGACTGACTGAAGAGAAGATTGTACAAAGTCCTTAGGACCTTAATGTATAAAGTCCAACTTGTATAAAGAAAAGGATCAAATTAGTTACGTACAGGCACCCCAAAAACAAATTCAGTAGGTATAATTAGGAAATAAACTAATATTATACTCACGTGTACAATGCCTCGGTTCATCAGAAGAATCGCCGCAATCATTGGAGCCATCGCAAAATCTATTTATCGGTACACATTTTTTATTGGAGCACAGGTATTCAGATATCCGACACCTAGTGTCGTTACCATGAAGTACCGGCAGCAGTTCCGGTTCCAAGATCTCTTTTGGCCTATCTCTTTGGTAAACTTCATTTGATTCTTTATTGGTTGGAGTATCGGTGACTACGTTGCCATTCAATTTTGTTATGGTGAGAATTAAAATGCCAATTTCTATAATGACGCTGGATAAGCCTGTAACAAGAGAGAATATTTGTTCATTATCATTACTGTTTCATTTCTCGTAATCGTAAATACTGGGACAAGTCCAGTTTGATCACTACGACCGTTTTATTTAGCTACATTAAATTATCTTGTATTTTGTTATTCACACGCAATCTGAAATTTGTAAGGTTTTTCATTAGGTAGAAAAGAACCATAGTTTACTTTCGTGCTTCTTAGAGGAATCTCTATTATAAATATGGCAGAGAAATTACACCATTATAGTAAGCTTTTTCCACCATTTTTTTCGTGTAGACCTCTGGAACTGTAATATTTTCTGTTGTATTCGGATAATATTTAAGCAATTGAAGTCCAGTCCTGCTACTAATTTAACTATATCATATTTCAATAAAGGATACTGATTCTTAGAGATATTTGGTTGAAACTTATAAAAAACTCTAATAAATACCAAATATTCAGATAAATTAAATATAAATCAGTCAGAAATTCATTCAGAAGTGTTATTCTATGTATGCTTATCAACTCGATTGGTTACTAATAAAGCGTGATGTGTTCAAACAGTGCACGGATACGATGTTATATTAGAAAATGAAATAACATTCGTATTTATTATAACAGTAATGAAAGCAATAGCAAATATCCCGGTCGAGAGACGTAGTTGATTAGCAGTGGAGCAAACATCGTACTCGATCGTGTTTGAGTTTAATCTTGTTTTGTTTAGCAACAGTAATTGTTTGATGTAGTTTTACATTATTAGTTTTTAAATTTCCATGAAAATTGTTTTGAGTTATATTTTGCAATATAAACATTTCACAGTTTGTTTTATATTTATAACTGTAATAATAATCCAAATCCATCCAGTCCCAAGTTAACCAGAGCTTGTATTAAGGGAATTGGACAACTGACACTATAACTATACTTAAATACATTTTGTTTGCTAATACATACACAATATATGTAGAAAAGACAATGCGAGGAATTGAACCCGCAACCATCGAAAAGTAAGGCAGTGTTGTAAACCACTAGTTCACCGATGCCAATACGTAGGCCAACACAAGGCCAATAGAATATCTATTAACGTGTTGACCATACGTCAATAGATATACCTACTATTAGCCCATATAATATTCCTAGATGTTCCCCCAACTCGTTTGCTTGTTTTTAAATTAGAGATATCCTATGTCCCTTCTTGTGACACCCTATATCCCTTCTTGTCTGTCAAACCATTTAGTTTTAAAAAGTTAGATAGATACATAGACAAACATTTATAATATTAATATAAAAGTATGAATATGGAGATTTATGTCATAGAATGAATTTACCAATGAGCTTAGGAACTCGAAATTTTTATTACATAGACATCCACTAAGGAAGGAAATTTCTACGGAAACCAATAAAAAACGAGTTCCGGCAGATAAAATTACAGTAAAGGTTTAGAAATTTATATAACAAAATGAACCAAAACATCCCAACAGGTGCCAATTTCGAATCCTGCCACAATATGAAAATAAAACAATAATTGGCAAACGGGAATAAATTTCAATAGACAAACTGTCGTCGCTAAAACTTGTGTAGAAAACTTTTTATTCCCCCGGGCTTTTAACTGAATAGAGTGGGGGAAGCTGTCATCAATCTTGCTTGCTCGTCTCAATGACATCTTTTCATGCTTTCCATCTTCTTGTATTGAACTAAGTTGAATAGGGTAGTAATAAATTTTTAACGAGTGTTCTAAAGCCCTTGTATGTGTAAAGGTATACATCAAATATCAGTTCATTGATTTTTTGTAGGTACGAATACATATATATATATCAGAAAACATATTTAATTAATTTTAGTACAAGTATTTCTATCTTCAAACGAAACTTTACTATCCATACTAGGTGTTTGATTAAAAGATATATCTGGTGCTGGCAGCATATCTACTATTCTTTTTATAAAATGCTAATATTATTTTGATACCCTTTTTATATGACACTTTTGAAGAAATATGTATATACACCTAAAATTATTCTTATTTTTTTTACAATATGTGTAAAAAAAGATTCATATATCTTTATGTCAACTTTAAGTCTCTTAAACAGTCAGATATATATATTTTTACATTTATAATATATATTAGCATGAATACATGAAATATATATATTTTTACATTTATAATATATATTAGCATGAATACATGAAATATGAATATATGAATGTATACAAATATACTAAAACGTAACACATTAAGTTAACTTATGTTCAATAATACAAATAGTTTACAAGTACCGAGTGTGTAGCCTGTTAATAATACTCGGCAGGTTCAATAATTTCTACACCATCTATTATAAACGAACATATCGCCCTAAATTCAGGGTAACCCCTACCATTGAGCTGACATGTCTCTATTCACGTATACTACATATAAGGTATGTCAAATAAGGCGCTGTTTATGGACCCTTGTCAAGAATAATCATGATCTACAGGATGATAAGTCATTCAGTGCGATCACAGCCGCCTGACGGGAATCTATTCACGTGAAGACAGCGCCTTATCAAGTAATAACAGGGCTTTATGTATGTTATACTCATAGCGTGCAAGAAATCTATTCTTATATGTATACACAAACTAAAATATTCTACATGAGCTTCTAAAAGTAAAGAAAAAGATAGCTTTTATAAAAAAAACACATATATACTACAATTTTAGTTAAAACGTATGTGAGGCAATCACGGGAATTATATAAATTGTAAAAAAATCTTTGATATATGGTAAATATCAGTAAAAAGTTGAAAAACAAACTGTAGAATTTAGAAGCATAATGGCTAATTAAAGGTATAAGTAATTCTGTTATTAAAATTATAACGTGAATAAATATAACATTAAAAAATAAATCTATATTTTGTACAATTTTTCCCACATTTTATTTTAATGATATATTTATATATAAGTGGTCTTTGTCATTTTCATTTCACAAAATAAGTTATTTTAAGTATTTGTATATGAATGATATAAAATAACTGAAAATTATTGTTTTAAAATGCGCATGTGTTCAGTCTTCACATATAAATGAGCCTAATACCTATTATAAATGAGGTCTCAACAACTCAATCCGAAGTTCAAAATCAATATATACACTTCATTCATATACATTCTTTTTTCTGTAACATGCTGTAGTTTCTTGGTCCTTAAACAATTGAGTTCCGGAAAATGGGTATAAAATTAACTGGAATTACCACTAAGGATTATTAAAGTAAATTGAAGTAATTTCATTTTGCTCCATTCTAAACAATATAGAGAAAATATTGCAAGGAACATAAACCGAGAATCATAACTACAACATATTACCGGATCACGTAGCGGCGGAACGGCAATGACCTAAATGTGTGTAACCTTGGAAGCACTTTCTGCCAGAAAGACTTTTATATAACGGAGTAAACTGTGGAAACACCCCTTATATAGCTTTTAGGAGATCACGTAGAAATACACTACTTACTATTATTGAATTTAAGAATCACCTAAGACTTCCAAAGCAAGCTGTTTTGATGCTGAAATAGGTAAGACTGGGGTACCCACGCAGACTTTTTACAAAGTCTACTTCGATTGCGTGAATAAAAATATTCATTTCTAAATGAAACTATATACATTATTATTTACTACCGAAATTAGAAGGCATATAGATGTAGGACTTAACAATCAGAATCCAGTAGGTAAGTAGTAAGATGCTATATAGAACTATTTATGTTTGCTAAATAAACATCTTATAATAGCTTTGTTTGTTCATTAAATTCATATTATTTTGCAGTCTATATACTACATATAAATATCTGAACTTGTGACAAGCACGTGACGATTTGAAAATTCAAAAGCCTGAGCAAACAATAGCGGGTATACATTGCAAAAACAAAGTAAATACAAGCGGTAGCAGATTTTTTTGCTCTAATACATGCTAACGTACCCTCACGTAGGGTGACACTATAAGCAATAAATATATATTTATATCTACATGTATATTATATATTATAATATAGACTAATATCTGTAACGAATTCGGAAAAAACCTGCACAAAACTAACGTGATCAAAATCGTGAGATGGGTTTTTTAATTAATGTTAATCACAAATAAAACTCTTCAGTATTACAATATTATAAAGTTTTTAATGCATATAAAATGTAATGTTAATTTAATGCAATTACTCTAGTGTAAATAACTTATATTCTGTTCATTATTCATGACGTACATACAATTGAATTACATATATAAAAAAGCACTACATCATAACCAAGCGTATTAAATCATTAAAGAATATTCAGAAGATATTATAGCGTGTACATCAACTTCTCTCGTTTAAATTGCCATGCCTGAATTCCTTCCATTCCTGATATTCATATAACACTAGCCCTTGTAATGCAATAAATAAATATTGTTATTTCAAAATGGCTGTTATATAAAATATTAATGACCCATGAGACAGAAACGTGATTTCAGTCGACATTGCGTGTAACAATTTTAGTACAATTTCTTATCCAATAGAATCAGGATACTGATCGGAATATTAATTGATTTATATGTAGTAGACGGAGCAAATATATTTAGTCTTATTATTAATCCAAATTTAATTTAAAGCCAATCTAGGAGAACCTGTACTGTCTAATTTATTATGTGCCTAAGAATATTAATTATGTAGCTGTTAATAAGAAGGTAGCTAAAATTTCTAAAGCAAAGTTTAATTTTATAAAACAATTAACTATTTTATGAAGTAACTTAGACGGATTTTGTTAAAACCAAGCCTCTGGGGATTTAAACTTGTATTTTATCAAATTACGGTATTGATGGTGGGAATTTTTGAAGCCCTTGACTTATCTATATGGAGGAAATTATCTTGCTAGAGACGTCTATAAAAGGGTATATGCGAGATATACATAAGCTTGAACACTAATTACAATATAAAAATTGAATTAAATTATTAACCAAAGAAAATAAACAATATATTTTGAATATCATCATATAAAATATGTTAATTAATATTAAT